CATAATGGGCCGAGGTGTGTCATAATGAGCTGGGGGCGAAAAACCTCACATGCTATATGCGCGCGTGAACTCCTAGTGCGTGAGTTACGCTTGTTTCGTGAGAAAGCCGCGTGAACCTGCGTGAAATTTCTGTGACACATTTGCTCTGTACTTAACTTATTATTAACAAGATAAATTTGATGATGTTGATTTTTTAAAGGGAAGTGTTTTCAAATTCATTTTGCGAGAAAACTTGTAAGAAAAACTAAGACCGACGTTTAAGAAATAGGAGTACTCGATAAGATTATCTGTTAATGAGTAAAGAAGAAAACTAGCGATTACTAATTGAATGAGCAAAATTATCTCAATAGATAAGCCAGAGAATTGCCGACATTTCCTAACAAACAAGACTATCCTCGTCACCTATGACAACCAACTTGTCAAAATTCACCTCCCTTTTCATCGAAATTAGACCAAGTAAAATTAAAGAAATAAAAAAAGAAATGCAAAAAGACCTTTGCATGAGAATATATGTCTTTAGTTTCAGAAGAATTTAAAATGATAGATGAATTCGTCCTGTGTTTTCATTTTAGAGGATCTGATACGATTAGTGAACAAACTTTTTATTTTAAACAAAGCGGCAAAAACAAAAAAAGCTACTAGGATTTCCTTAGGCAGTAAAAGCCGTCAGCCCAAGAGCATTGTATACCATACTCCTTGAACTAAGTTTGCTCGATTTTGAACTCCAACTAACGACCGAGTAAAAGTTACATGAAGAGCAGATGGTTGTCAAGATGTAAACAGATTAATTTCAAATCGGGTTTGTCTTTTTTTATGTACACTTCTAAATTTTATTGTAAACTTCAATAATGGTGAGTAAACGAAGCCACAAAGAAAATGTAAGAACGCCTGGACGATTGAACACAAACAAAGAAGTAAAGTGCTATATGTGATCTCATAGTATCCGGTGTCTTTCACTCTTTACGAATAATGGAGAGCAAATAAACGCGCTGGATTTGACAGACAGTTGGTCGGTGCACCATCATCATATCTCATTGGAGAATGGAAATTATAAAATGGAATGGTCGTTTGGTTGGGGACTTGGGATGGTGGAATATACAGTAGATTGTATCTTTTGAGGTGCTGATTTAACTTGTAGATTTATTTTTATGTTGCGCACGAGATTTTATGAAATTTTTGACTTTGAATTACAGTGCTTTAGTGGGATAAATAGAATGTTAGGGAAAAGAACAAAGCTTGAAGAGGAACAAAAAAACGTGAACAAACTAAGAAAAAAAGACAATACAATGAAACAAAAATAAGAAAAAAAGAAAGAAAAAAAGGGTTGCATCAGTAATCCTGTAACTGACACACTAGACAGGACACCTCGAACATTGAGAGACATCGAAAAGCTATCCATTCAAAAACACGGAAATTATATATACTTTTCCAATGACCGGAAACAGTATTTAAATATTCTGATATATCGGAGGCTGAAAGACTGATTATTCTTAGACTGGTTTAAAGATAACGCGAAAGGCTTACTTCTAGAAAACTCGATAGCTATTAAGAATCTTATCAATGAAACGCGCTTTCAGAAATAGGAAACATAGGAAAAATGTAAAGACTGCTAGCGAGCGTTCAACAGCTCTTCAAGTTACACTATATGAAAAAAAAAAAAAAAAAAAAAAAAGACAGGATTGGAGTGAGAAAAAAAATCGAATGGATTGATGGATTGTGTTTTGATAGTCGTCAACCAATCAGTGTATCGTTTGTATCAGGTTTTATATCATTAGTTATACGAATCACTTTTCATATGTTTACAAAACAAATTGAAGGTAATGCCATTAAAGATAGTCTTAAAGTGAGTGTACTGCTTTTGATCTCTGCGTGTCTAATTAAAAGGTTCTGTCGGCTTTCTCTCGTTTTTTCACTGAGCCAGGGTAAAGCACGCAAACTGAGACAAAATATGAAGAACTTAAAATGATTTTAGCAGGTGCATCGCTCGACATCCGGAATATATCAATTCTTCTCACGCCGGCAACATATATACAGTTCAAAATACCAAACCATTTATATATAGATCTTTTTAGAACGTACCTAAAAAAAACGAATTAATTGAAAAAAGATTTGGACATCCAGTGTGTAAGAAAGGATTTTCTCGAGCACAAACAATCCTTCATACAATTTGACAATTACTCAAAGATAGCGTAGCTTATAGATGAGTGAGAGAATTGTCGTGTAATGATACTCTATAGACCTCCAGCTTGGAGGCTTTACTTTTATCATTAAAAGGGATGAAAATCTATTTTGAAAAACGGTATTAGTGAGCTCGATAATAACAAGAGTAGTTGTCAGTTATCAATAAGTAACTGTGAAGTTTTCACTGGGGTGAAGTTTTTTTTGGGGGGGAAGTTTTTTTTCTATGATGTACTTTTCTCAAGGACTTAGCAACTTTGCTGTCAAGTGACTAAGAAAGTGCATTGGATATTTTCCTTTTTCTAAATGACACAGAATTTAATTACATTAAGAATCATTTTATCGAATTCCAAAATTAATCCTAGTAGCTCTTGAGCGGCTTATAGTAGGATAAGTGCAAAAATAAAATTAACTGAACTGCGTAATGATACGTGATTCACTGCGAACAGGAGAGATAGATGCGAGCACATACATGCATACATCAGAAGCACAAATTAATCCGGGTAGCTCTTGAGCGGCTTATAGTAGGATGAGTGCAAAAATAAAATTAACTGAACTACCAAATGATACGTGATTCACTGCAACAGGAGAGATGTGAGCACATACATGCATACATCAGAAGCACAAATTAATCCGGGTAGCTCTAGAGCGGCTCGTACGAGTAGGATGAGTGCAAAAATAGAATTAACTGAACTACCTAATGATACGTGATTCACTGCAACAGGAGAGATGTGAGCACATACATGCATTCTTCAGAGCCACAGCTAAAATCTGATAAAACATAAACAAATTAATTGTTCCTAATGTTATCCGTGCAAATTTATTATTATTATTATTACCACGGTTAATACCCTAAAGCGTGCTGCTTCACACTAGTTTACCAAGTGACGCAGTGAAATGGTTAAAAATGGTTTGGCTTTACAAAAAGAACATAATGGAAAGGAGAGACAAGTGCTTTTATTATTCTAATGCCGCAGATCGCTTCACAGCATATGTATCATGCAATGATATGTTTTGAAAGTATTTTTAGGCTCCTACAAAGACTTTAACCAGAAATAGATCCCCTTTGGCAAAATACCTAGCTAGGGGTCAGGGAAGCTGATAAAAAAAGAAGATTTATGAAATACGCAGTTGGTTAAGGATGGAGAGCGGGGAAAGCGGGGCAAACGCTTTCCTTCTTATATTAAGATTTTTGTTGTGTTTAGAAAATATGAGGAATTTGATATCCTAGGCTAAGCCGAGTACTACCCCTAAATGTGCACAGATATTCCGTCCGTTAGGTTAAGTTTTACGAGGGAAAAATAAAGAAGAAAAAGGTTATAACGGAGGCTTATAAGTCGAAAGGTTTAGAAGGGAAATAGGGAGAAAGAAAGAAAAGAAAGAAAGAGAGAAAGAGAGAAAGAGAGAAAGAAAGAAAGAAAGAAAGAAAG